GTTGTTTGAACATAAATGTGTGTTGGAAGTGTGTGTACACATCCATCCTATAATTATAAAAATCCACCCAGTGTTTTTTTTTTTTTTTTAATCCCTATTTTAAAATCCCCTTTCTCAAATCAGGCTGTTCTGAGACTCCTGTCAGAATGACGTAGTTCTGTACAGGCCCCTCCCACGATAGTTGATTGACAAGGCCGTCTTACCTTCGACCCGCCCTGAGTGAGCTTGTCAGTCTTTGTGTCGACTCCGGTGCAGGGGAAGACAAGATGTCTCCTAAGCGATTGAGGTGTTTTGTTGTTGGATGTAATAATGAATATAGCAGTCGTCATTTACTCCCAACATCTGAGCCGCTGAAGACGCAGAGGATTAACGTTACTTTCGCTTTGAAGTGAATGCGCCGATCCCCGATCTGCCTAAATGAGTCTATGTTTGTGTAACCCTGGGTTAAGTTATTATTAATATTAGCATTTATTTACATTTATTTATTTACTTAATTTTTCCCCGTGTGACAGAAGTGTTTCTATATTTTTTATATCTAAAAAATGTACCTGTTCAGAAATGTCTGTGTCAAGAAGTTGTGTTTGATTTAATGTTATTGGTTGAAAAGTGACTTAATCCCGCCTAATGTCAAGTAGGGCAACTGTGATTGGCCACCGAGGATGTCAGTCGGGGGTGTGGGGGAGGAGTGAAAAAAAGAAGTGCGTAGATGATGTTGTCGGTATGATAACAGAAAATGCATGACTTCATTTTGTGATAAACATAGTCAGAACTGTATCGTTTAAGTGTTAACTAGCATATTATTCTATTGTGAAGTCAACACGACGTCACAAAGAAGTCAACGCGACGCGATTCGGAAGAAATGCGGGTTTTATGCTTGATCGACATTACAGTAAACGGGACTAACGTGAATCGCTGGTGAGAAACTTAAATCAAGTTTATCATTTAAATCAGCGACTGTAAGAGAGCTAGAGGTGATCAGAGTGATTGCCACAGACTGTTGTTGCATCGACTGTGAAGTGCATTGAGGAAATCCAGATAGCGCTCCTAATCGCCGAGTGGTTAGGGGTTCCTCTGGCATCGCGGGAGTGTCACGGAGTTTGCCGACCGATCACCGCCTCACGTGGACTGATCTGACGGGTGACGGGATCCTTGAACTCTTTCAAGTTCATTCAGGTGCATTTTGTTTGTTTTATTTGTGCTCTTCGAGAGCGAAGCGGCCATTTTAGGTTTCACTTGGCCTCAACGCACACCAGCGACGTTTCAGGCCTGCTACGGGTGTGTGTGTGTAAGTGAGTGAGTGAGTGTGGTGGGCCCACATTAAGCTGTTTTTCTAATTTTGAATCATATAGTGGTTCAATACTCTGACTCATTGAAAGTATGTCAGTAAAGGGTTACATTGGTATTTCTAACTAAAGCTAAAGTTTGTTTACTTACTGTATTTATATTTTAAGTTTCCCAAAGGACACTGATATATTGGTTTACACTGATTGGTGATAAATTTATACTTCTGAAGGGAAAGAACTGAGGTTTAATTTAGAAGAGTGATTCAGTGAAAAACTCTTATTTTGATATTTGTGTAAAAGTTTAACCCTTGAAGTGTGTTGTTGTCCAACAGGGGAAAAAAGTCAAAGCAAGCACTGTATTTGAAGATAAAAGCTTATTTTTAAGTTGAGAGAACAGATTTTGATTCATCTTTGATTCCTTTTGTCTATTTTCTTTTAAATAAATTCATTGTATATTTCTGCTACATAGCGTGTCATTTTAAAAAGAACTGATACGTAGATATATTTTTGGAAAGCAATTTACAGAGGTCAGCGTTGCACTTTGTAAGAAGTAGTATAAAAAAGCAGGGTCACATTTTGATTTTAAGTAAAATCACGTCGAGAGACACAATTAAACGAATCTGGGTTCTAGCGTCAACAATTCCAAAGTGTAGATACACCTAGGACTGAAGGGGGCGCTACATTTGCGCAAATCATTCGTGATCGAGCTTCACCTATAGAAGAAGTGAGTATAAGGGTTTTTTTATGAATCTTTGCAAATCCCAGTCTGCTCGTCACCGCAAGGAAGAGAGGGGCGGGGTCAGCAGAGCTCATTAGCATTTAAAGCAACATGGACTAGAACAGAGCTGATTTTGACAGGTTTAAAAAGGTGTTTTTTACACTACCATTGAGAAATTTTAACCAAAGTATGTTATAGACTTTTAATTAAGACCCTAAAGAATCATATCAGCTTGTGCAAAATGGGCATCCGATGACCCCTTTAAGCAATAGTTTCTAGGTTGTACATTATGATAGTTAGTATACCTATTCACTATATTTCAGTTCAGTTTATAAGCTTGTTACATCTAAATTTTTCAATGGAATGTTTGTGAATTTAATTTTGATAATTGTGGCAACAGTCTGTTAACATTGGGAAAGTATTAGTTTAACAAACAGTGTTGTTGGCACATTTAAATATTTTACAGTTTAGCAATTACAGTATAGCAATTGTATATGCCTCACTGTCTAGTTAAAAAACATTGAATACATTAAATGTATACTGTAGAGAGTTGCATGATGTTTATTATGCAAGACTCAATGATCTCTGTTAAATCTGTTTAGTGACAGTGTTTTAAAAGTGATGACTGACAGAGAAACTGTTTGTGTTTGTTCTCCAGTTGTGCCTGTAGGTGAAGTGAAGTCAGTGTCAGTGCTGGAGGGAGATTCTGTCACTCTCAACAGTAATATTAATGAAATACAGAGATATGATGTGATACGATGGAGGTTTGAACATCAAAACCATCCTGTAGCTGAAATCAATAGAAAGGCTGGAATCTTCAACACATATGATGGTGCTGATAGGAGATTCAGAGACAGACTACAGCTGGACTGTTTTACTGGATCTCTGACCATCAGGAACATTGGAACCAGACACTCTGGACTTTATGAAGTTGACATCAGCAGTACCGACATCAAACACACCATACACAAGTCATTCAATGTGACTGTCAGCGGTGAGTCCATCAATGTAATAAGGAATTTAATTAGATAAGCACTGTGTGAAGAGTTTAGATGGAAATAAACATGTATGCATTAAATTAACTGTTCAAGTCTAAGAAACTATCTTTGTGGTGTTGTTAGTTAAGTAAAAATTTAGTAAAGTTTAGTAAAAAAAAAGAAAAAAAGATTTTGATTTCAAAATGAGCTACTAATATTATTAAGGACAATTGTCACACTCACCATATGATTTTATGATGTAGTGACACTACAGCTGAACATGAAACATTAAAGGTGGTTTGGCGCTTTCTACTGCTGTCTGTCACTGTAGATGCTTCTCATGCTACTCACATTTCTAATGGACGTTCCTGGATTCAACACTAATGATTTTTTATTTTTTTTTACATGTTGTTAGTGGATCATGGTGGTTTTATAGTTTGTGCTGATGTAGAAAGTGTTCTGTTCAGTGTCTGTATGACAGATGCTTAATTTCCCTGTTCATTATTCACTGTTGCGTTCAGTTTCATAATGAGCTCAAATGTTCACCTGAATTTGATCAGTTGATCTGATGCACACATTTCTTTTCTTCTCTTTGTCAATCCTTTGAAGGACATGTTGTGTTAGACTGGAAATGTGCCCTTTGTGACCAGTAAAGTGTTGCTGTAAATTTTTACTTTAATTAAAACAACTGAGAGTTAAATGAGCTTTAATAGACTTCCTGAGATTTGTCAAGTGAGAAGTGTTAAAAATCTTTCTGTATGTATTTAATTCATGTCTGAGTAGCTTTTCCTTACTCACTACTTTGCGTGTTTGTTGTTGTGACAGATGCAGTGAAGTCACTGTCAGTGAAAGAGAGAGAATATGTTACTCTACAGGCTGTAACTGAAATACAGAGCAATGATCATATACTGTGGCTGTTTGGAGACACTGTCCTAGCTGAAATCCATAAAGCAGACCAGCGATTCTCCACATCTGATGGTCCTGATGAGAGATTCAGAGGCAGACTGAAGCTGAACAATCAGACTGGATCTCTGATCATCACAAACACCAGAACCACAGACTCTGGACTTTATGAACTGAAGATCAGCAGCAGCAGATACACCATAAACAGGAGATTCATTGTTACTGTCACTGGTGAGTAGATCAAATCTGTCATTGTAAAATTGATCTGATTTAAATCACAGCTCTAAGAACAATTCTAAAGTTACTCTTCATTTGAATAGTTAAACATAACATTTGTATCAAACTATTTTAGTTTCTTGGTGTCTCAGAGAGGTTTGGTGAAAAATACTGCAAAAAAATCCATCCATTTATGATCCAAACTGCTTACCTCTAGTGGGGATGCTGGAATCTATCAAAGCTTAATGACGTTTGAGCACCTATTAGATGAGGTTAACGGTGGCTGATCAGAAAGAAACTCACAGGTCCTGTTTGACTCACGGTCCTAAAGGTCTGCGAGAAATTTAAAAGTAGACACTTAAAAATATGGGCATAATCCAGTGTACACAAAAGCCTATGGGGCAGTCGTGGCCTAATGGTTAGAGAGTCGGACTTGTAACCCGAAGGTTGCAGGTTTGAGTCTCAGGTCTGGCAGGGATTGTAGGTGGGGGGAGTGAATAACCAGCGCTCTCTCCACCCTCAATACCACGACTGAGGTGAGACCCTTGAGCAAGGCACCGAATCCCCAACTGCTCCCTGGGTGTGTGTTCATGGTGTGTGTGTCCACTGCTGTGTGTGTGCACTTGGATGGGTTAAATGCAGAGCACAAATTCTGAGTATGTGTCGTGTGGCCAAGGCAAATACTTGGCCACACATCACATCCTGTCCTTTTCCTATAAATCTTATAGAAAACTCAAAACAAAATAAGGTAAGAAAATTAGTCATATGACTCTAAACAAGCATGTTAAATTTTATGGAGATCTGGCAAAAGTTGGCGTTATAACAGTTAGAAAGGTTAAAAATACTGTATTTCTATGCTAAAGTCCCTGAAATTGCAATAATAACCACTAGATGATCACTCATTGGCTCAATCAACTCACGAATATAGTACTTTTCAGATCCAGATCAGATTTTTTCTTTTGGATTTACATTTAGATGTTATAAGTTCACTATTATTATATTTAAAATCACATTTAGTCAAAGTTTACCATTTCATTTAAATTGAGGTATCAGTTTTGACAGTTATGCCACATCATGATTGCAGTGAAACCTGAAAATGGTCTTATAAAAAGGCTTATTTCAAATATCTACATTTACAACAAAATGTGTGTGCATGTGTGTGGAAGTATGCTTAGTGTCAATAAGGGTGTATTTATATGTTGTCAGTGACAGAGTACAAGCATGTGTGTCTAACATAACTCTGTATTTTCAGCTTCAGAACCTTATCAGAATATTATTATAAGGATACAACAAGCACTGTAACATGATTTATATGCAGAGGGACATTCTTAATAAATCATACTATGTACAGACAAGCAGATGTGTCACACGTTAAGCGTTTTCCTTATAACGTTTTCTATGGAAGGATTAATTAAATGAGTTGCGTTCTAATTCTGGGCTCATCTGCTTGTCTGTACAGTGATTTTGCCAAGTCAGGCATGTTCCTGAATCAACATCTTTTGTTGTTCCTGGAACAACATTAATGTCCAACAACATTCCTTCAAAAACAGCCAGAAACCTTGGAGTTATGATTGATGATCAGCTGACTTTCTCAGACCACATTGCTAAAACTAAAATCCTGCAGATGTGCTTTATTCAGCATCAAGAAGATCAGGCCCTTTCTTTCGGAACATGCTTCACAACTCCTTGTTCAAGTTCTTGTTCTGTCCAGGCTGTTGCAATGCTCTCTTGGCAGGTCTTCCAGCCAGCTCTATCAAACCTTTACAATTAATCCAGAACGCGGCAGCAAGATAAATTTTTAATGAGCCAAAAAGAATGCACGTCACACCTCTGTTTATCAATTTGCACTGGCTACCAATAGCTGCTCGCATAAAATTCAAGGCATTAATGTTTGCCTACAAAACCACCGCTCTGCTCCCCCTAAATTCATTACTTCAGACTTATGTGCCCTAGAAGCTTGCATTCTGCAAGTGAAAGGCGCATTATTGTGCCATCGCAAAGAGGCACAAAATCACTTTCACAGACTTTTAAATTAAATATTCCCTCCTGGTGGAATGACCTGCCCAAATCAATCCCAGCAGCTGAGTCCTTA